AGCAACAGATTTTCTAGGTTGTTTTTCTGTCATCGTACGGAAAACCATCTGAAATAGAGGTTTGGCGTTTGAATTTCTAATGCAGTTAACGAACATTGATATAACATATCTAACATTGCAATTTACTCATAGTTCCTAGTACTTGTTGGAACCTGCTCAGCTGATTTCGTGAAAGAACTTCATTGGATCCATCTCTGAATCCTGTATGTGGTGTAAGTCGCATCGCAGCGTTTGTATGAGCTAGTATCAAAAGCAATTCATATGTTTACCAATGATGAGACTGGTCGTCTTTCTACCCATGTTGTATTCCTTTTCATTCACACCCCTCCAGTTGACACTCCGTATAAATTCTTCCGAAATCAATAACCGCGCGATGTCCCGGGTGCAGCCGCATCTATTAGCATTTTCATCTACAAATAATAGAAAAAATGTGGTTAACTACCATTAATTCTCAGTATCCTTGACAGGTTAATTTGCATTCCAGTTCATGAAATTCTTCAGCTTTTCAGCTGGAAATGCTACAAATCTTTATTCAACCGTTATTAGTTGTTCTGATAGTTTCAAATAACAAGTGCATCTTCCGGTTCAGCTGTTTGATTTCATCATATTTTTTGTTTCTTTTTGATTATCTGGAGAGCCAATTTCAAAAACTGAAATTGGAGTTACAAATAAAACTGAAAAACTCACCAACTAGATTAATTTCATGTTCATTTGTGAATGATCAATAAAAATTACCTTGGTCCCAAAAGTGCCTGTTCTTAGTTTACTCGTGTTCACTAAATCCACCTTCGCGTATTCTCGATAATTGTTTCAGTTCAGTTTAGTTTGCACAAGGCAGAAAATGGCCACGGCCAATCGAACGCTCGGAATTCCTTCGGTAGGATGCGGCCAATTTTGTCGCTGACCATTGCGAAGAGTATTCCTTTACCTTCCTGATGAAAAGATGAAAAACAAGCTGAAAACATCTTATTTCAACTCGAAGGCGAGAGATTGGTATATGTGAGCGTTCATCTTCCAGTTTACATTCCAATGAATCACGGAGGATCACAAAAGCCTGCAACCTGAGTGCCCCGTTATAACTCTTAGTTTTCTCAAGTCAGTCGATGGATGGTCAGACCTCTATTTCAGAAACCAGTTCGTCCAGGGCCGTGTTGAATGCTGACATTATCTGTAGTTCTATTAGCTGCACGAGTGTCCTGTTCCAAATGTTGACTAATCTGTTGCTGAAGAAGTGTAATTAGGCAATCTGTCGAAACCGGGTCTTGTCGATCTTCGTTTCATGTCCCTTGTTCGAGATTCTAGCGCCTTATAAAACAGTATTTCTGGTTTGACACCAGACAAATCTTTTGTTATATTAAAGGTTTCTATCATATCTCCCATGAGCGTTCTCTTTTCTAAAGAGAATTGTCCAAGGTCCTGAAGCTTTTGCCTATAGTCTTTGCCATGCTGCCCCTCAACCATTCTCGTTGACAGCCGTTGAACGCGCTCTAAACAGGCAGTATCCTTTTTGAAGCAGGTGACTGTGCCCGGACACAATAATCTAAGTGGGGCTGACTATGGCTTTGTACAGAGGTATGAATACCTCAGATCTACGGCATGACAACGCTGACCTTAGTCGGAATAGCTCACCCCTAGCCTTTTGTGCCACTCTGGCACTTTGATTAGACCATCTAAGATCATATGTTACCAAATTTCTTAGGTCTTTTACATCTTTCATCGCCCCCATAGTGAAGAAACCTACCTCATGTCCTGTGATACTCTCTACGGCCATCGACAGCAGGGGGTAATTCCAGTATTGAGTGGCAAGTCCCACTTGAAGGCCTAACTTCGGATTGCAGGAATATCCCTAGCCAGATCCTTTCTCCTCTTTGACCTTACTACCTTCATGTCGTCTTCGAAGGCAAAACTAGGTGACTGAAGCGTTAAGGTTAGGTCATTTATAAGTAGTAAGAATGAGATGGGTCCTAATATAGATCCCTGAGGTACTCCTCTAGTGACGTTCCCCAAACTGGAGTTGGAGCTGCCTACTCTTAAGTGGAAAGTTCTGCCATTGAGGAAGTTAGATATCCAGCTGTCTGTTTCTCTATGCATACGGCTTTCAGTTTGATCAACGAAAAGCAATGGTTCACGGAGTCGAACGCCTTACTGAAGTCAAGGTAGCAAACTTCGACGCTCATGCCTTCATCCCGCTTGCGAGTTTCTTCATCTAAGAAGCAATGTAGGGTTGGATTCAATTTCAAAGGGGAATTGGTCGTCTGTACAACAAACGAAGCGTGAAATGAAAAGCTAGAAAGTACTATACAGTAGTCTGTACCCGATTGGTTCTCATCAACAGTGTAAATCCATCGAACTGGGGATCAAACCCAGGACCTCACAGGCGAAACGCAAGCACGCTACCCACTCTACCACCGGGCATCTGATCAGATCGTTTTTCTTTTTCCATTTACACGATGTAGCACAACCCGTCTTTGAGAGTGTGATGCTTGCTGCCAAAGCGTTTAAATGGGAAATGAAAAACGGTCTAAGCAACTACCCGGTGGTCGAGTGGTTAGCTTGTTTGCGTTCTGCCTGTGAGGGCTTGGGTTCGATCCCCAGTTGATTCGATGGATTCACTCCATTGATGAGGTCGAAACTGCTGTATAGACGACGAATTTCCCTTTGAGGTTGGTGAGACATGACCTATTTTCCCGGAAGCCATGCTGAGCAGGGCACAGCATAGAATGATCCATTAAGTGCTTTAAGATGTGAGCCCTGATAATCCTGGCCAGCACTTTGCAAAAAAGCTAGTTAGGCTTACCGTAGTTGCTCACTTCTGATATAGGCCCTCCTTTATGTATGGCCACCACGGCGGCTGTTTTCAGTCCCGCGGTAGAATACCTTGTTCTAGGCTTAGTGTACATAGCGTACAATGGTCGAGCTAAGATACTCACCAATGGTTGGGCGGATACCGTCAGGTCCAGATAACTTGTTCCTATTCAAGCTTTGTAGATGGTTCCGAACCATATCCTCCATAAGACACAAATCATCCATACCTACTGGAGGAGTTGCTGAATCCCAAACTACGAAGGCCCCAATATAAGTACGATGAACGCTGCTAAAGTAGATACTTAGTTTATCTGCTTTGCTGTTGTCTATAGCAGCGGAGTGCCCATCGGCTTTTACCTTCCCCGGATGCTCCTTTGGATTGCACGTACCCGCAGTATTTCTTAGGTTGGTCTTTGGCGCCTATGGCCAGCCTAAACACGTAGTTGCGTTTGGCTGCATATCGATTGTTGCTTTCCTTTAGAGAATCCAAGCTAGACGGCTCCTACCACTTTTGTACAAATGCCAACTTCGATTTCTGCGTTTGATGGCCTAGTCTATTGCCGCTCGCCACCAGATCGGCGCGAATTCATCTTCGAGTACGTGCAGCAATTTCTGAATTACTCTCCACATCCCGTCACACTAGTTCCTTCGAGGTCTCAGGTTAGTTGAGCTACTCTGCTACCAAAGCTTTCGAAGTTCATGGACCAAGAATTTCTAGCTATTCTAGCAGTAGCTTCCGGATGTCGCATACAGGGTGTAAATGTCATGCATACATAATCAGTCTTACCTAACGGTGAGAGTATCCTCAAATCTATGATATCCTTCGCGTGTTTAGTAATCACGAGATCTAGTAGTAGGAAAGGCAGCTCGTACTGCATCTAGCGTTCTTTTTCATGTACTGCCTCATTGCATTCCCACTAAACCCCTCCAGGAATTTACGTTCCTGTGCTCCTGAGGTGCTTGTTCCAACCACCCAGTTTATATTCTGCACTTCTTCTATTACCACTACTCCTTTCGGAGTGGTTGTGACCGTTCGGTGCTCTACAGGTCATGGAATGTGCCCAGATAGACCGACCCTCCTTCGTTGAACCCTGTTTCTTTTGCAGCTTAGAGGACTTTCATCATTTTCTAGTCTAATTTTTCTGGGCAGATTTCTGGGTGCCTGATGCAGTACCTACTCTTTGTTATCTGGGCTGTTGATACCGTCTTGAACAAGACTTTATCCTAAATTGCTTCACTATAAAACACGACCAAGATTGGTCGCGCCGTGGCCATAACAGATTTCGCGAGTTGTGGTTTCCATGTACCAACACTGTGAACCCGTTTAAGGGAACCGGGAATGGAACACCTACCACTCGCAGCATGTCAAACACTCGCTGTCTATCCATTTCCTTTCAAGCCTTAGATTAAAGGTTCCTCCCGATTCATAATCAAGAGTCTCCGGCCGGTATTCCTTTCCATGTTGCTGATCTGCCTTTTGAGAACCATGACCTTGTTTTCTAACTCTTGTTAGCTAGAAGTGGCGCATTCCATGCGAACCTGTAACTCATGATTCCTTTTCTTGTTGCTAATCACAATTTTTCGATTCCGACTTTAAAACCACCTCGTCGTGCTTCGTTTTATGTAGATTGTGAGTGGGACTGGAGGTGGCTAACGCACGACCCCCAGCTGGGTGCGTTTTTCCCTTCTCCACCGTTTTCTTTACTACCGAAGTAGCTGCTTCTGCATAAGAAAGTTTTGGTTCAGTCGTAGATCCTAGAGACAAGCTCTCGTGTTTGTAGATTTTTGGCTTTTCAACAGCCCCTGCATGCCTCAAGCTTGTAAGGTGTGCTGTTTCAGCAGCATCTTTGCACAGTCCGCAGTTCCACTCAACCCACTTGTGCTATCTTTAGAGCACATATACCTCTCTGGGAATCCCCGAGCACTTTCGATGGGTTCATATTTCGCAGAGTTTGCACTGAATACCTCTCGCAACTATTCTACCGCAGTTAGTAGACAAACAGTTGTCGGATGTGTGTGTGTGTGTGTGACGTAGCTGGAATAGTTACTATGCAAAAACAAAAGAAGCGAATAAAAGAGTGAAAACTTCAACCCTTAGGATATAGAAAGCGTAATTGTCTCTGCGTCAGAAAAACGCATACGTTTAAATACAATGCAGTCGAAATTCCCCTTTTCGGAAAATTCACTGTAAGTACTGCATAGACACTGTCTTCGAATTACAGGTAGAGATAAACAATAATTAACAATCATACATCAGCACACAATAGTACTAGCAAAGGTAATCTCCTTGATGCCAATTCATGTTAGATAGGCGCAAGGCTGCGCAGGTTTATTGTTCGAAGATTTGGTAGGTCATTTGGTAAAATACTGTGACTGAATTGGCACTGCGGTACTGGACTCATCATATGGCCATAATCCTCTAATTTTTATTAATAAAGACATACAGTCCAAAATGTATTTAGTTGGAACATTGACCAGCGTAAAGTTACACGAGTCAGCGAGTTGTACGGGGTTTTGTAGAAAGGCCAGTCATTCCAGAATATCCGTGAGAATGCTTCAGGAATCATCTGGGATTCGTTTTTCGCACATACAGAGAATAAAACGATTGAAATAATAGTTACCCGCAACCTGATCTTATTTTCAACAAAAATGGTAAACGTGACTGTTGCGTCCCGTTTAAGTGAGTAAATAAGCACGTTTATTATAGAGGTCACACATGTAACCGATCCATGAACAAGCAGAAGGGGGCAACACATAGGAACGCAAGCAGGCACGCGGGTGAGCCAACAACTGGCTCAGGCGTCGTGTCATATCCGTATACCGTCTAGCCGTCAGCGAATAAATTAACGGATCAATTAATCGATCATCTCGGCCATAGGCATGCGTGACAAACGTTTCATTCAATTTTAGACTACAACAGTTACGTTGTAGTGTTAAACTAGCAATCTTTTAATTTGTAGCTGTTACTGAAGTGGATATGTTTATTCAGCTGATATTGAACAACCAAAAAATTTAAAACATTTGTAAATAATTTAAATGCTTTTGTGACTCTAAACGAACATGGGCGAGCGGATTACCAAATAATGTCTTATCAAATGACATTTATATATCTTCATTTGTTCGCCGAGCTTGGCGATTGTATTGTAAACGTTTCATCACCAATCGAGGTGATATTCTCAATGCAGTAACTGAACAACTGGACATCAAGTTACACCACCTAAGCTATGAAAACAACAGCTAACACCGTCGTTTACAAAACTGTCAAATATCATCATGACACAACGGTGTATACTTTGTATCAGCAGTATTCTAGGGACGTTTTTATCGTCTTCTAATCAAGGGAAGTGCTTGTTTCGAAGAAAGCGGGAACGGGAGGTTTTAGAGATCGCGGTGTTGTGATATCTTAGTCACATCCTCAGACAAATTCTCCTGGTCTGTCGTCGGATTACCTCGTGTGTAGAAAATACTTAGTTCGTTCAACACCTTTATAATACAAAGTCTCTTTCCAAACATTTGTTGGAAACTGTTGCATTTGGTACTGGAAGCTTGCTTTCCTCCAGGAACACTTTACGTAGACTGCTTTGCGGTACATTGCTCTACATTTGAATGGTAAACGAACTCACGAATCAAGGAATTTATGAACTCTAACAATGTGGGTGGAAACAGCATGGTAGTAATATCATTCTCTCTTGTTTGAACGATTAGGTCCTCACATATTTTATTATGTTGCACCTCAAATCAAAATGATGTGTCACAACGGACAAATTCACTTGAGATCCTCGCATGTGCTGCGTGAGAATTTCTCAGGGTCATGCTAAAGAGGTATTCTTGTTTTGCGAGTTATTTTTATTCGCTGCAATAATTTGTCATTTTGTCCTTTTCATTAGGAGCTTGGCGTTTGAGGGTTTGGTGTGTGATACAGATTCCATAATTTCTCAGTTATAAAATGCATTTTGAGGAACTGAGATTTTTTCATAAATTACGTGATGAACTCAACACAAGTTTCCGATAATTCCAATTTCGTATGAAGCTTAATGTAATTGTGAGGTTTACGTAGTACTATCTAAATGTATGGAAAAATCCCGGTTCCATACACTGTATTTTAGGATTATAAGAAGGAATCAAATCTGTATCATACACCAAACCCTCACTCACCAAGCTCTTAACGAAAAGGACACGATGGTTGGTCATATCAAGGAACTAGGTAGAAAATTTATCATCTGGGCACCAACATATTGTGTATGCCCTAAAGAGGTTACAAATTTTTGTTCGAAAACCCTTTCATGACCATATTTGTTGGCAAAAATTTGTCTTTAAATCAGTGATCGAATCGTCTTGGAGTTTTCAGACTTGTGGTAAAACACTTAAGTCCTGATTGAATCTGACTGTATATCCATTATCAACAAAACGTTTTGGAATGAAACTTTGGGGTTTGCATTGAGCTAATTGAAATAATTGATTTTGTGGTTATGTTCTTGTTTTTGGCAATATTTTCTCTATTTACTTTCACATAGCATAAGGGTTTTATGATAACTTTTAATTTCTGTCGAATAAGTTTGAACGCAGAATTCTTCAATGTACCTTGTAATGCCCACCTAAATAGTTCTTTAAAGTGGTCTGTTGCTACTGGTACAGTGATGTGCACCTTGAAGTAAAGCCTTCTGTAAATCACTGTAAAGGTTTTTATTCCGTAGTTTGCTAAAAATGAAGATAAAATAATAATAACAATAAATAATGTTAATAAAATAGAATGAAAATGAAAATTTAGGATAAGTCATGTGTTCAGTCACTGAG